CTCCCTTTTGAGAATCTTTCAGAATAAACACAGTAAATATAGTAGCCATCTACTATATTTGGAGGAGTCTATTTTGTCTGCCAGCATAAACTAGGACAATCTGGTAACACAGTGAGTTATTTTGCATACATTAACAAAGGAGGACAGCAAAACGTAGATGGTGATCTGAGATTTAGACTTTGCAATAAAATTACATTTCAAGCTAACTTAAATGTTATTTTAAAAGGTAATTTTAAGATTGCTGTTAGAAAAGCTACCAATCTTACCTTTCTCCTAGCGAGAGTTAAGTCTTGTGTAATTTCATAATCTTTTTAAATCAAGAACTCTTCTTGTTGTGAACAATTTTATTACAGTACAATGAAACATCATTTTCCCATCTCATTAAATGCCCCTGCCAGTCCTCTACCCCCTCCCAGTCAGTGGGGATTCTCTCCAAGTTTCCCACCAAACAACTCCAGAAATGAAATCACTCTCAGTTGGCAGATGGACAATATAATAAATAGCTGAACGGAAGACAAAAACTCAACATCCGGACGCTCCCAGAATGCATACAAAAGGTCTCAATATTTCACCATGGACAGAACGTACACAATGGTCGGGCATCATATGATCATGCATCGACGAGGGATCAAGTGCACTTCATAAAGAACGTTTAAGTGAATCAATATACTTGAAAGCTGATTTTTTTATTGTCCAAAATATTGTACGTCAATTGTACTCTCCAAACCAGTTTCCCCAAAGAGTTACAGCTGCTTAAAGTTTATATGAAACACCTAGCAGAAAAACATAAATAGAGGAAGCCAATCTTTTTGTACTGAAAATCTAGCAGATTGTACATCGGGTGTGTAGACAACCATCACCCCCAGGGAATGCCATACACATGATGCATAATGGAGATGAAAGAAGAAAAAAAAAGAAAAGCCAGGTAGCATTTACTGAGATTACAAGTGCTGGAATGAGCCAAGACCATCCTCATTTCTATTTTTTTTGCTAGAATGTGAATTCTTTTGTTTCTCATATGTGGGGAAGAAAAAGGAGAATTGCCTGCAAGGCGTTTCTCATTATGGAAAATAGAAGTGTGGGAATGCTATGTCTTCTCAGATTTTGTTCATCTTTCCAATAAAAACCAGAATGTAATTAGGTAGTAGTTATGAGGCCAGAAAGCAATGTGTCTAAGGAGAAAACCAGTATAAATGATTAAAGTCTGTATGGAGAAACTCAACCATCAGGTGGATACTAAGACACAGGAAAGTCAGGATTAAATCCTTCAAGATCTGTCCTTCGGATGAGATGTAAAACTGAGGTCCTGACTCTCTGTGGTCGTCCCCATCTATAAATTGGCTTAATAGTTGTTGTGTGGTGAGCGTTGTGGCACACTATGGCTGCCGTCGCATCATCCAGGTGGATGCTGCACATTGGTGATGGTGGAGAGGAGTCCCAATTGCCTGTAAAGCGCTTTGAGTGGAGTGTCCAGAAAAGCGCTATATAAATGTAAGCAATTATTATTATTATAAACCAAACAGAAATCTCAAAACAAAGGAGTAGAAATACAATTTAAGGTTTTGCAAATTACTGTATATCTACCACAGCTTGAATTTATTTTCAAACAAGGCTGCTTTCCAATCCAACAGCAACAGATAGTGATCATGTATTGATTTCCAGTTCAGTAGAATACAAAGGTTCATCAACCAACCTATTATGGTTGAAGAAACTCCTCACATTTACCTTAAAACTGTCCAATTGTTGTCACAGCATGGAAATAACATACCTACAGGGGTAATATAAACACTTATCATTTACACCAGATGAGCAGAAATGTGCGGTGAACTGATAGCAAAGAGGGAGCTTAAGAGGCAGAAAAATAATAAATTTAACTAATTTATGCTCAGCCTAAAAAAAGTCAACTCTTGTGTGAAATGGCTGGGGGGGTAAACATACATCATACAACTACCACACCCAGTTTCACAATCCTGAAGATGCAGAGAGAAGGCTTTTGTTTCCTTTGACCTGTCAAGTACATGATTCATGTCAGCTTTCATATCCACACCCAGAATCACATCATACCCAGCAAATTCCTTCAGGGATCTAGCCAAGAGATGACTAAATTGAATTTAAAACATCATAAGGGCATAAGATGAAGCAAAAGCTTTTTATGTTGGCTTGAAATATGAATTTTCAAACATGCAGACCTCCCTAGGTCATCAACACATGACCCCAATATAGAAACATTTTTTTTCATAATACAATTAAATAAACCCGTGTTTTGTTTTCTGTAGAACATAACGGTGTTGCATAGTAATACTTATCTGAAAGAACATATTTGTAGATTTAACAATAAGAATCTTGAATCTTGGCAGTACCTATTTTCTCCCATTGTAGCAAATCTAAAAAGCTAGCACAATTTGTAGGAGGAATTACCTACATACATTACAGACCAGAACAAAGGGGAAAACATTTGTCATGTCCATACCCAATGTCAAGTCAGCTGTTCCTCTTGGGATATCTATCAAAGAACAGTATTTGATGCCAAATTAATTCGCCTCTTTTTGGCACTGAATGGACAGTGTGGATTAAAACCTCTCTGATGTTTTTAACAGGACAAGTGGTACCAATATACAGTAATAGCTCCAATTTGGTGGTGCACATCATTTTTCAAGAACAAGTATGTTTCTCACTATATACAATTCTCACTAAATATTGCACTTGTCAAAGCAGCATGTCTTTGAGAAACAGTACAAGAACATGTATTTTAGGGCAACAACTATACACAGGTTTTGAGGGTAGTGAATCTGCACTAATGTATTGCAAATGACTATAATTACATGTAATTAACAAAAGCCTGTTAACAAAATTAATGAAAAATTGCAATCAATAGTGACCGGTGTTAAAAGGGAGCAGCACATGAGAACAGCAAAAAGGTCCATAAACTACTTCAAACAATCATCAGAATAAAATATCTGGAGATATCATACTCCACTGCTGAATAAAGATAGCCTCTAGTTATCAAAGATTTGTATCAGCAGAAACAGCTGCAGTCAACATCCAAGTTGACCAACATCTTGTTCTCATGCTTCCACAATAGATCAGTGAATAGGAATGATTTTCCAAATGTCCAATAGTCTACAATTTATTCAAGTTGTTTGAGTAACCCATGTAACCCTATATGGACTCAATGATGTACATATTGGGACGTTGTGAAGGTTGTGACACTTTTGTGACTGTTCCATGAGGCTCTTGACATTCCAGATGGGTTTAAGTGACAACCACTAAATGCTTGGGGACTGTATCATGTTAAAACTGGACCCGTGTGCAATGAGAAGTCTGAACCAAAATGGGAGTGGCACAGTAGGTCACGCCTGTATCATTTAGTCATTTCATTAACACACACTTCCCCACAAACAGAACTTACATGTCTGTTACCAACGTCATTTCACTATGAAGAGTACCCTAGAATTAAGCACATTGAAAGGTTTATTGAGTGTGGTAGTCACAGTTAATTTGGCTCAATCTGCCTGGCTGAGTGCAGACCTCCTGGCCACACGACGAGGAGTGGAGTGAGGATTGACCAAGGCTGCAAAGGTGCAGATGGGGTGCAGGGGGGACGTGAAAGAGAAATGAGAGGGAGAGAATGGGATTACTTGTATTATAGTTTAAATGTGAGGAAATGACGTCAGGAATAATGACAAATTACTGACAGCTGAGGCTGATTGAACTTGGCTGTTGTTATCCCTCCCAAACTTTTGTTACAACTCCACGAAGACTGATGGAGCCCAATTCAATCATTCATCCATCCATTTTCTAACTGCTTTTATCCACAACAGGAACACAGGGGACTTGGCCAGGCAGGACACAGACACAAGCACAGAGACACTCACACCAGGGCCAATTTCCCCAGAAGCAAGGTAACTTACCACTATGTTTTTGGACTGTGTGTGGAAACTGGAGCACCCAGAGGAAACACATGTGAACATGGGGAGAACATACAACCACCATGCAGATAGCACCCCAGTCATTGAACCTAGGGCCCCAGCACTGAGGGGCAACAATGCTAACCACACTGCTCCACTGTGCAGTCCCCAGTTCAATCCTATTTTTTCTTTTTTTCATGCTGAAATGACACTGTACTAAAATTAGCAGGTTATAAGTGATACATAATGACAGTTTTTCAGCGTAAATGCCGTCATTTAAACGCAAGGCTAAAATAGCACAATTCAAAATTAATATGCCCAAATTAACAACAACGTACAGTCAATCAACAAGCAAGTTAATAAGCATTCAAAATATCTACCTTTCCCTTAATAGCTAGCTATTAGGTCCGATGTAGGTAAGACGTCATTAAGTTGATTTTACCATACATTAACAAATTCTCTTCCCTACCCCCCCACCAGAAGCTGTACAGCTGAGAAGTGTACGAACGCATTGTACTTTTTCTAGTAGTATTTCTAATGCATAGCAGCATTCTGAAATTCGGTGTATGAAATGTTAAAAAAAAACACCGGCCGACCTGGATGCATTCCTTCCGTTATGTTACGATTTTCCAGTTGAAATGTTTTCCTTCGGCGATAATGAAATAATGCTTTGTTACAAATAAGTTTAATAATTTTAATTACAAGCGTGTGTAATTAAAATAGTTCAATAAATTGTTATTTTAATTTAGTTAAGTACAGGATTATGTAATTTTATCCCATTTGCTAATTTGTTTAGTCTTACAAACCCTGCAATATAGTTAGTTGTTTGACTCACCTTTAGAATTCACCAGAAAAACCATGAATAAAAATAACTACCCAGACAACTGCTTTAGATAGCGAAAATGCACTTGTTGAACACAATTTCTAACCTAAAACACAACTGATTAGTATTAATATAACCTGAAAGCTGCAGCAAATCTAAACCTCGAACAAAAGAAGTATACAGAGCTCAACTCTTACCCCTATGACGCTCCGTTCCAACATCAAGTTAGCAGGTGTCCACCAATCATTTTACTGAGGAGGCGGATCGCTTGCAAGCTGATGTTTTAATAGAAGATTTCTGCCTTTCAAGCCCACTTGGTTTACGTTGCATTTAATAGGATACCAATTACGTTATAATACAATCACAGGAAAATATCCGTATTATCTCAGTCCCAGTATACAACATGATGGAAACTTTTCAAGCCGTAGAAAACAAGCTGGAAAATTCCCAGGTGGAGTTTTTGCAGGGCGCCAGGTATGTAAGCAACGCGTACGAGAATGCCTTTAACTCGTGGAATGACTATCTGGGACTGACCACTCTTATAACCTGCACCAAAGCGGTGACCAGCAATACTAAAAACGACTTGAGGATGAGCGCAGAGGTAGACCTCACTTCAAAAGCGTCTTACTTCGAAAAATCCATGGATTTGAATGACTTTGGGTTTTGCTCTCACGAGGATCTTGTTCTGGCGGACAGGTATGCGGAGTTCAGACCTTTCTCTGGCAGGTCAAGTCCAGCCCTCTTCAACAGTTCCCCGGAGTACGTCGACCGTGAGAGGGCTCTTCAGTGGGGCATCGTGGATAACAGGCATCAGAACCCACAAGCAGTTCCGAAACAAAGGGCTAAAATGGACATGCAAGTCTGCGTCTTTTGCAGGAATAATAAAGAAAGCATTTCCCGCTACAGCACGCACATTTTAAAAGGGCCCGACGGGAGAGTCCTTTGCCCCGTTTTACGGAGGTACACTTGTCCCCTGTGCGGTGCCAATGGAGATAATGCGCATACCATAAAATACTGCCCTCTCTCCAAACTCCAAGCCAGTTCCGCGAAACAACTGAAACCAAGATGCCTGGCAGCAAAGAAGATTCGCTAAATCCCCCTTTAGTCATTAACTGTGTTTTGTAGCAGCTACATTTGATGTTGCGTTTGAAAACCAAGACTGGCACAGATGCTAATGTAGATTTTTTTCTACAATGAGTAGGATTAAAGTTGTCAGTTTAACTCTGAGCTCAGTATTAACCGAATGAAGCACTATTAGTACAACTAATCGACGCCTTGGATCGTTGTATCTCAAATAACCATTAACATGCATTTGATTTATTCACAGTTCTGAAATTTTTCAGAGCTTCTTTTTCTCAAACTGTGCAAGTTCTAGTTCCCCAAGTTCCTAACATCTCGATTCAGGACGGTCTAATGAACTAAAAGTACGTATTTCAGTAGACATTTTGCATTTCTACTTCAAATTGCCAAGGTTTGCCAACATAACGAATGTATTGTATTTGGAGTGAATGGGCTTAGATAAGTGCAAATATCTACCTCAGCTGTTGGTTTTAATCCTTAGTCAAAAACCATTACCTTTTATGCCGGCTTTCCATAGGTTTAACTTTTTAAGTGTACGGTTGATTTATTAATCTGTTATTTGCTATTAATGTGTAGAATAAATCTGCTTATTAGATGCTAATATATCAGCATTGGATTTCTGATTTAATCTAAATGTACTGTGTGAAATAAATTTCTTTATTGATTAAAAAGTTCCTTATTGAGTTTTTGTGATTAACCTAGCTCACTACCGCCACCTTCCTGATTAAAGTGGCAATGGTCAAATTAGCTTTGTATAACGACACTAATAAGCGTACCTTCTCGGTTTTCTTCATGCGATGGCGGTATTTCGAACTAACGACATTCAGGACAAATTAGTTTACATTGCTATCTCGAGCACGTTACTGAAATATAATATTGGTCTCTGAAAATTGAGTTTTTGAACAGATGTAACCCCCGTTAAAGGCAACCTTAAAAATGACCATACCATCTTCATTTATTGCGGGCAGACCTGTAACCTTCCATTTCGTGCGACTGTTGACAGTCTTAGCATATGCGAGTTATAAATACCGCAGTTGAGGCACGGACGTCGCAAAAGGTAGAAGTGTACATCTCTATGTGGGATATCATTAAATAACGAACGTAATTATACGAATGTCTTACCTAGCAAGCCTTTTTTGTGTTCTTAAATGGCCAAATATACAACTACTGCAAGTCAATCAGAAACATCTGCCAAAATCGGTCTTTGTACTGTTTGTATATAAATGTATTACTGTTGTAGATACATTATAGATTCAAGCTATCGGGTTATGAAAGGTAAATATGATCAAACTAAAACGTTCCATTATTCCACGTAAGGAAATCAAACTTATCTTTATTGTCTAAAGACCAATTCATGCGGCAGTTTCTACTGCTTTCTTCTGTATGGCATTGGAATCACTAAGCATAGTGCGGTTATTCATAGTCAAGTCATAAATACCCTTCCTATATAGTTCACAGGCTACGGGATACAACTGGCAGTTTGGGGGGTATGCTCGGCTTATTGTTCAAGCGCTCTGTTTTTTTTCTGTAAGTTAGTGACTTTTATATAACAGTTTTCCATTTCTGTTGGTGACCTGTTTAAAGGAGCTTTCCAAGGCTGGCAAATTTCTGTAACTGCTTTAAGGTTACAAACACAACCTTAAGGCAAAAAAACCTAAAAAGGTCATTTTCATATACATGTGAGGCCCAGGATAATAAAATGAGACAGTACATAGTTTTGCAAGACCATGGATCAATTTACGTTTTTTACCTTTCCTCTGCGTCACACAAATCCTCTTTATCGGACATAGTGTTTTACAAATTGAAACATTTTAACATGAACACGTTGGAAGGAGGCTATTCGCCTGGGGTTGACTGCAGGTAGCTAAATGGATGGGAAACATATCCAACCATGGTCTTGGTGCAAGTTAACTTCTAAGGGTTCATTCAAACATCAGAATTTGTACCTCCTGTTGGCAATAATGAACTTTAAAAGTTAAAAGTTTAAAAAGAGTTTAACCAATGTTTTATTTCTCACTTAATCCAGTGGTGGTTACTTAGATGCACTAGAACTGTAAACATGTAAATTTAATTTTTCTTAAACAAACATCAGCACTTAAGCTTGTGGAGGCAACGGTGGCATGAAATCCAGATGTTTCATACACACAGCTGTAAAATCTGAAGAACAGGATAGCATAATCTTAATTTTGTGATTTAAATGAACTGTATATTCAAATACAAAACTGTATACCTAATGGGTATGTAAGATCATGAAGATTACAAATAAGGAAAGAATTTAGTTCAAACAGCTCATTTGGATGCACTTACAGAAAATTCCTCTGAAAAAATTAACAAGATTACCTCAATTTCGAGGAAACAGAAGACTGTAGTGAAATTTCGATTACCTTTATTTATAGAAAACGGCAGATTTGATCAAAAGCATGCAACCACTTTTTTTTCAGAGCAGCTATGCTACACTTGGAAGTCCAAACCACCACACTGACACAGGAAAATGTTTATCAACTCTTTAATATTTGACTCATCAAGTAAGGCTTTTTAAGATGTATACAATGACGGGTGTGACATTTCAAAAAGGCCAACAAGCCAAACCCAGTGAATTTTAATTTTCCATGTGCACATTTACTGATGTTACAACCACTTAATTTTAGTAGCAGTAACAGAACAAGATATTTCATCAGTAATCCAGATTTGAAATGCATATAATTTTTTCTGTAACATCACTTTGCCTAACAGGGATAGAATAGAATGGATGGTTAAATCTACCTAGAACAACCTCACACTTCCCAGTGGAACATATGAAGAAATCTTACCTTGGACACTCAAATAAGCACAGGAAGTCCTTTAATTTTCATTAATTGTTTTAAAGAAGTTGCTTTTCAAGATACAAAGTTTTGGAAAGATACGCAAAATTGATACTCTGTGAAGGTAAGCATAATCTAAGTTATATTCTGCATCTGTATTTCTCTTCACATCACTAGCTTCATGAATCATGAGAGGTCACTTACTGTGTTTAAAAAGATTATGACAGCACACCACCTGAAACAACTGTGTATGGTTATATATTAAGCAGGACAGATTCAGACCCCACTGACACACTAAAGCTGAGGAAAAGTGATCAGCGGCGGACAGTGGTCCAGCCATCATCATCGATCTCGTTCTTGGTGCGGCGTGGGACCTCCTTGTCTTTTTCTGAGCGCCAGGTGCCTCTGTCCCCATCACGGTCCCGCTCTCTCTCCCTAGGAGGGGCCCTGCGAGGAACGTCTCTCTCATCACGGCGCTCGTCTCTCTTCTCTTCCCCGGCACGACGCCAGCTGCCCCCTGTGGGGCAAAATGCAGACTTCAGACTTGTGCCCAACAAGTAGGTGAACAAGTCACCCCGAGAAGAGTACTGGCTGATGTTAAAATGCACGCAGAAGTCAGGTGTCACCACCTCACTGGAGCCCAATACATGTTTTATTTTTACTTTTTTCCCCCCTTGCAGTCAACAGACGCATTCATGTAACAAAACACTCATTTTGATATATGCCTATATTGCTGTAGCCTTTGCAGATTGTATGTGGGACTGCAAAGGTCAGGGAATCTGGTTGTTCACCAATTTGTGGCCCTTTGTCTGGTTATTTTGCCTGGAACTGGCCCACAGGAAAAAGTGCTGCACCCCTCATGTTTTCAGAATCTAAATGTACAAGATCAGACTTCTCATTATGAAACCTTGCCCATTTTTTCATTTCAGTTTTTTGCCTCATTTTATTTTAAGTTTTTTATTTGAATTATAAACAGGAATCCTTCCGATGTTGCTGCTAAAGCTTGTGACGCATCATAAATCGGGCTGATTAAATTCTAAGCACCTCCATGTGCTCCCAGAGCTTGGCTTATGTTAAAAAGTGGTACAGCCTTGCCTTCTTCACGCTCTCCTCTGGGTGGGCCGCGACGGTCTCGGTCATCCCTCCGCTCTCTCAAGTCCCGGCGGTCACGATCATCGCGTCTGTCGCGCTCCCCGCGGTCCCAGTCGTCCCGACGAGTTGAGTCCCTCCAGCTCTGCTCCTCCCCACCTCCCCGCCTCCAGCCGCTCTCCTCCCTGCAACACAGCCCCAGTTCTTCGCTTGAGAAACCACGCATCACACTTTACACCATCACAGGTCTCAGGACAGGCTTTCAAACATGTGGCAGAGCACCAGCTGTGTAAAGCAGCCAGACCACCGGCATTATAAGCATGACCAACATTCCTCACATTGTTTTCATTTCTAAACTGGAATGAAAATGCAACAGAATCGTGTACATTACAGCAGACCTTGGAGGACGACGATCTCTAAAGCGCTCGCTGTCTGCGTCATCCCTGTCATCTCTGTCGCGCTCGTCACCATCGTCACAACCCGTGTCACGCGGGGGACCCCAGCTTTCCTCCCGGGCCTTCTCTCTTTCCCTCCATCCACCTGCGTGAAACCAAAAGTTTATCATGTAACGAGCTTTTGGAATTTGACTGAATAATGAGGAGTCTATATAAATCAAACCAAACCTTAACCACTCACTCAGACCTCTAGAACAGGACATTTCTAATATGCAGTGAACCGGATGAACAGAAAAGGGGATTTACCCACTGCCGGTCCATCGCCAACAGCAAGACACAGATCTTGCTTCTCTCGCGCATCTTCATAGAAATGATACAAAATACACTATTAAAAATTAGGTCTGATAGAAAATAAGGATTAAGGTATCCATCGTCAATTTACTGATTGAAAAATGAATAATATAGCAATCTATTAATAAATCTATTCAAATATGGAAAAATCTACGTTTAGTTAAGGATTTATCAAACATTCATTTTTATAAAAATATTGGGGTCAATAGATACAACTGCAACAAAAAATGAAAACAAATTTAACAGCGTTTGGTATCTGATATAGTTGAAAGGTGTAAGTACAATATACTGTCAGCTTCACTTGGGTTTGTATTTACTTCTGAAGGTGCTCTATATTCAAGCTTTTTACTATACATTTAAGTCTTTGAAATAAAACTAGTTTAATTTTCTAAACAAAATTAATTTCTCTGTAGATCCTCAAACTTCGCCACATATAAAAAAAATTGTTTTGACAATATACACTCATACCACCGTAACCGAAACTGTTTGAAGGCGGAAGATTGTAAATCAAAAATAAAGATCCATTATTTCTTGTGGGGAAAATCCACCCTAAACATACAATACCATACAGACAGATTATAGCAAGCTTAGTGAACAATGCAGTTCTACTCAAAGAAGCCAACTATAGCAGTGAAATAATATAATATCTACATTTTTCATTCTTTCTTAATAGATTGCTATCCAAGCAATCAGCTAGAACAATGTGCGATTCTTAGAACAACTCTAAGAATCGTTCTCTTCCTTAAGACCCCGTAATAAACAGCAACTACAAAACACAAAAAAACACGGAAAATGAGAGCACAAGCTTTCGCTGTGATCGTAAATAAAAGACTACAGCCACATAGCGTCCTTAACCCCCGTGTCTTACACTCGTGCAGAAACAAAGCGGTGTGGTGGCGCTAAATTCAAATGTTCACAGAAGGTTCGCAGCCAAAATTGGTCACTTTTGAACTTCAAAATTCAGATTAGTGAAATTTAATTCTTATAATGAATTACAAGGTACAAATTCTTCATGTTAGAATTAGCAACAATTTGAATACCAAATGTTCTTATACCGGGGTATGAGTGCATCTAGTTAACCAAAATCATTCTGAACTTCTTGTGGGGGAGAAAAAAACTGCCTTTCTTGGTATTATATAAACCGAACCCATCTCTCAAAACGTTCACAGACATTTCAGTTTTTAGTACATAAAATAACTTGTAGCTGCAATGAGAAAAGTCAAAATAGAATTTACAAATGGAAGTAAAAAGCTAAACTATTTTTGATTAAGCCTTTTTTTCTGCTTTCTATACCCCAGGTAATCCTGAAGGTAAGAGAAATGCTTTCCATACCTGGTCTACCCAGAGGTTTCCAAGGTTTAGGGTCATCATCCATTCCTCTTCTGGGCCCTCTTTCATCGTCACCACCTCGCCGGGGAGCCCAGTCCTCATCAGCACCTCTCCTGGGACCCCTGTCTTCATCCAACCCCCGTCTAGGGCCTCGGTCTTCATCAAATCCTCTTCGGGGTCCCCTGTCATCATCCATCCCTCTTCGGGGCCCTCTGTCTTCATCCACGCCTCTTTTCGGGCCCC